CTAATATCATCTTTTTACTACTTATAATGAGTCCTTGTGTTATAAACTCATTAAATATAAGTTCAAGATGTTTTCTATGCTCTTCTTTAGTTTGACTGAAGACTAAGATGTCGTCGATATAAACACAACAGAATTTTAAGTGTTTATTAAATATAGTATCCATTTTGCGCTGAAATTCTTGTGGCGCATTTTTTAATCCAAAAGGCATAACAAACCATTCATAATGTCCTTCAGGACATGTGAACGCTGTCCATTCAATGGATTCATCAGCCATACGGATTTGCCAAAATCCTGATTTACAGTTAAATTTAGAAAACCATTTTCTATCTTGGATTCGATTTATTAAAACATCATTAGGGATTTTATAACTATCATCATAAGTATTATCATTTAATCTTTTATAATTTATAACCATACGAACTTTTCTTCTTTTTATTCCGGCATGATTTCTAACCATAAAAGCTGAACTCTTATGTCTACTATTACTTTTTCTTATTACTTTTAGTAATAACAGTTCCTTAAATTGTTTTTGGAATTCTTCTTGATCGTCTAGGGTATGAGGATTATCTTGTGTCTTTATAGTTATAAAAGGATTTATTATATTTAATTTTGCTTCAATTTTATTTTTATACCAGTGTTTCTGAGGATCTTCACCTAGAATCTCTGTGGTTTTAGCTAGTCTTATAAGATTATCAATGTTTAGTTTGGGGTTTTTTTAATATAGCTTTATTATTAAGGAAAAATTTTGGTTCATCTAGATGACTAAGAAACATTAAGGCTTCAGAAACGTCTTCTAAAAATTCGGATACATCAAATAAATTTTTTGTAGTTTCTCCTGTCATAGGTAAAGTATTAACATAAGTAATGGCTCCTTTTTCTTTTTGAGGAATATAAGGATCTCTAGATGGAATAAAGGTTCCTTTCTTAAAAAACTGTAAACCTGTAGGGGTATACATAAATCCTCCGGTGAGTAAGGTTATAAAATTTAATCCTAAGATAAAATCATAGGTGCTAGGAAAATTATTAATTACATAAGTCTGAGGTAAAACAAACTTTTCATTATTAATTAATATAGAAATGTTTTGAACACAATGGGTTATTAGAAGTTTTTCATTATTATGTTGGCTCATGTTAACATTATAGTTTAACTTTACTAAGTCTTTGTCTGGTGCTAAATGTTTTTGAATTATACTTTTGGATGCTCCAGTATCAAGCATAGCTAAGGTTTGAACTAATTTTTCTCTAAATTCTAATGTTACTGGGAATTGAATTAGACTAGATGGTTTATATATTGAATTTATGGATTCGACTAAAATATCCTCTTGCTTATCTTCATATTTTGTATAGGAATTATAACATAATAAAGTTTTACAATGGTTTTCACTGTAATGACCTTTTTTAATAGATGTATTGCACTGTTTACAATTATAAGAAGAAAATTGAAAACTAACTAAGTTATACTGACAAGATGGATTACTTATAGTGTAAATGAAATCTTCTATTGAATGAAGCCCTTGTTCAAAGTCTTCATCATTTTCAAAGTTGCAATCTAAGTTCTCGATACTATATATACTTTCATTATCATCATCAGAGTCATAAATATTTTCTAGTTCATATAATTCTTCTATCTGTTCTTCAATATCTTCAAGTATGTTGATCTTTTCTTGTATCCTTTTAATAGGATTCTGCTTGTATCGATGAGGGCAATTTGGTCTAATGTGTCCTGGATCTCCACAAATAAAACATTTGCAATGTCTTTCTTTTGTGGGTAAAGTATTTACCTTATTATCTTTGTCTTTAATATTCTTTTTATCTTTATTTATTTTTTGCTTTTTATACCAAGGCCGCTTTCTAAATTGCCTAGGGTTAGTTTTGATATAAGGTTTTTTATTACGAAAGTTCTTGTAGGTCTTACTTTTACGTAGATTATATTTTTTAGGTTTATTGCGATTATAATTATAATTTTTCTGAGGCATACAACCATACTGGGGTGGAAAATCTATTTGTCTACAAGTATAAAAAAATTATTTTTTGATTTTTTTGGATTCTTTACGTTGTCTACATTCTGTTTTTAACATGTTATACACATGATTAACTCTATCTCCTATGGTTAGCGTATCGCGTCTAGGATTTTCTAACCATTTTTTCCATATTTTAGTTCCTACGCTTCCGGGTAACTTCTGAAGATACCTATCGAGTATTGTTTTATCACCTGTTTTACCAGTGGCTGCAAAATACTCAAAAAACTTATTGGTGTAATCTTTTATGTATCTAAAATCACAAATCTTCAATAATTCTAAATTACGTAAAGCTTTGTTTTGTTTTATTAAGGTATCATCTAATAATCTATCTTCGCCAACTAATACCTTTTTAATTAGGCTGGTAAAGCCTTGAATTGTAAAATTATCTCGTAAGAAGGCATAATCATTGGGATAAGTTACTTTATAAGCCTGCCACCAGTCATGAATGGTTCCTCTTAATAAGGTTTCACAATAGGTTAAGACTTGAGTTCCATTGTCAAAATTGGTCAAAATAGATTGCCGGATACAATCTTGTTCCCAACTTTCAATTACTTTTGCCCAATCTTGGGGATCGTGCCTTACTATGTCTAATATTGTACCTGCTTGTTGTGTTGGTACATTCTCATAATTTCTACGATATTGTGTCCATGTATACATATCTGGTATATTTTTATTTTCTACATAAGTTTCACGTGAAGGGTTTAATCTTTGTCCAGTAATATAGTCGTCATTTATGGTATTACTACCTGAGGCGTTAGTCTTTCTTTGGTCACTCATTTCTTGGTCAATTGACTGAGAGTCTGATCCTTCTGGTGATTTTCCTTCTCTATAAGCTATTACATTTAACTCTTCTTTTACTGTGTTTAACTCTGATGCTGTATAGAAAGATTCAAATCCTACACTTAGAATATTTTTCTTAATATCATCATTATTTCCTTGCCCTAAGTAAATACTTTATATAAGTTTGTATTTAGGTTCTGGATACTTGTCTTTCAACGTTTCTAACTCTAAATTATCAAAATCGTATATTATTTTATCTAGAATTTCATCTTCTAATCTATTATAAAGGGCATTTATTTCTTCAGGAGATTTTATTTCTATCAATGTAGTTAAAAAATCTTCTTGGGTATCATCTACTAAATTGTCTTGTCTTTTATAATTACTAAACCTTATGCTAGTTTCTCCGCTATTTGAAACATATATCATATTATTTTCGGGAATCTTTTTAGGGGTAATAGTAAGTTTATGTAATTTCCATTATGTTCCTTCGTGGGTAATGCTACTTACTTTTCTAGCTTCTATCATCTGGACATATTTGCTACTAAAAGGTTTAATTATTTCACTAAATTGGGCTTTAAATTTTAAGTTATACTGATTAACGGCCTTTCCCATAAATAAAGTATTAACTAATAAATTTTCAAATTGTCCTGTCATATTGTATCCTTTTGTAGATATAGCTATCTTAATATATTTACTGAATTCTCTAGTAGTCATTGTGTAATTGGGAATACATCCTACTATTGTTGCATTATCGGATAAATCTATTTCGGCGCTAGCTATTTGTGCCTGTTGATGGTTATTCCATCATCGGTCATCATAAATATAAACAAGTGCTCTAATTCTTATTTATGTTCTGTTTAATCCTACTAATCCTATCATTATAACGCCTAAATGCATGAGTTCTAAATTATTATCATTTAATTCTTGACATGCTTCGGATGTTATAAGGTCTAAAATAACTTGATTGTTAACTGTACTTATTTTTCTTTGGCTAAAATGATTATATATCTTGCTCTGGAAGTCTAATAAATTATTAGAATAAAGATTAACTTTTTTTTTTACCTTCTTCATTCCTTGTTCTATATATTTTTTAGCATCATGTTCATTATCATATAAATCTTCTACTCTCATTATTTCTTTGGCTTTTCTAAGGATAATGGCCATTGTGGTATTTGCTTATGAGGTTGAGGTTGTAGTAAATTTACACGCTTGGTTGTTGCAGGAGATGACTGGTTATTGGTTGACAATTTTATTTCTTTTATTTTTTCTGATAATTCAGATAATTCTTTAGAAGATTCTCTGGGAATACTTTCTTGTATCACTTCTAGTTTCTCTTCAAGTTTATTAACTTTATCAGATAACTGGAGTAATAACTGAATTAAAAAGTTATTTTGTTTAGTATGTATATTAGTTAATTGTACGTCTGTTTTAAAACTTATAAATCCTATGGGTTCTTTGTCAATTTTGTAAAGTTCAGCTAACGCAGTTAAATAATCAGGACTATTAGTGCTCATAAAACTATTGTAATAACCTTTGGATATCGGTTTTAAGGGATTTTAAATAGTCTATGGTTATTTTTTGATTTTCAGCAATATTTTTAATATCACTATTGATATCTTTAATTGCGACTAATATTATCTTGTTATCTAAATTATTTGGACTAGAATTTTGTACTACTGTTCTTTAATATAATCAAGATTTTCTCCGAGTCGTTTTATAGAAGTATCTAAATTATTAAAGTCGAGTCTATTCATAAACTAAAATCGTTGCCATCTAGCTTCTAAAATATTTTGTATTAATATAATTCTAGATCTAAGTTCTTCGATTCTTCTTTGTAGACCACGCATTGTGTCTCCCAATTCTAGTGCTATATAGCAACTCCTAAGTGCTGTTTGACAAAATTCTAAGTCTTGAACAAGTTGTTATTTGGTAAATCATGCGTAAAGTAAACTTTTAGGGGTAAAAATATAATTTAAACTTACTAAAGGGTCAAATAAAGTGCCTTGACTTTTAAGTCATGTTCTCGTAAATACACAAACTACGTTCATGTACCGGTAATATAACTATGCTAAGACCACTTATACGTAATTTCCATAAACTTATACTTATTTGAGTTTTTTTTTAAATCGTATTTAATATATATAAAATTGAATTTTTGAAGAATTTTTATTTAAACTCATTTTTCTTTCAAATCACGAAATTTGGACATCCAAACAGTGCCCAATTGTTCCATGGTCCATTATTATTCTAACGCGGCGGCTTTGAGAAGCTGCGTTCGCATACCATTTGAAACTTGATGTCTGGTTTGGCTTCCGTTTCTCTACAGCACTCAACTTTGAGAAGAAGAATTTAGATAGAGAGAGGGGGGGTATATACATACACGCACATATATAGAGAGAGAGGATGCCTCCGCCGATCAAAGAGCCGTGCAAGAAGGAGGCGTGCGACATTCAAGCTTGCCTCTCTAAAAACAACTTCCTCCCTCAGAGGTAAGTCTAATTTTTTGTTTCCTGTTTCCTTTAATCTCTGTTTGCTTCCCGATAAATTGTAGGAATAAAGAGCAGAAGATTTAAAATCTTATGTAACACGCTTCACTAATTTCCATATATTGAAAACACTCATCTCCTTGTTTCAGAGATCAAACAGAGGATTAGGGTTTCAGCTTTTAGTTCTTCATATATATATATATATATATATATATATATATATATATATATATAATTGTTCAGTTGATTTTGGATAATTTAGAAAATAAGGGTGTATAATTTGTAGTTGAAATGGAATATTGATTGTTTGATTCTTGAAAAAAAAGAATTGTCAATTACTTTCTATGCTTAAGCCTATATATATATATATATATATTTAATTGGTCAGTTGATTTTGGATAATTTAGAAAATAAGGGTGTATAATTTGTAGTTGAAATGGAATATTGATTGTTTGATTCTTGAAAAAAAAGAATTGTCAATTACTTTCTATGCTTAAGCCTTCATTATATAATGTATTTGGTTTTATTGAAACTAGAATTGGTAACTCTTAACAAAATTTTGATGTAGATTTATTGGTTTTTTTATTGTAATATATTATCAAATCAATCCATGCAAAATAACCCTGTGCTCGAGTGAAGAATATTTAAAGTCAAGCAATGTTAATGACAGTGATGCAAGATATGAAGTGGGTTAAAGTTTTCTTCTCTCTCTTTGTTCTTAATTAAGAATGATCGAGGCCATCAAAGTACTGAGTTCTCAAAAATTGTTGTATCTGAAAAATGGAAATAGAATTTCTATGATTGTTTTTAAAAAGGAGTGGCTTTGACTTCCTTTGATGTTTTCATGTCTGTCCTATTTGTTGACTAATAACAATTTTCAAAAGTGGGATTTTTATCAATATTGTGAAGCTTCCACAAAATAGAACCCTAACTGAGAAGGTGCAAAGACACAAATTTTATATATATATATATATATATAGAGAGAGAGAGAGGGGGGGGGGGGGGGGGGAGTCTCAAATGTGGTTTATTAATATTCCATCCAAGGGTGAGGCGATTTGATAAAATGGATATAAAAGATTTCTGGATTCAAATCCTTGAATATCGTTTAAGGAAAGAAACATCAAGAACTTCCACATTTCCATGCCACTGCAAAAGTCACAATCAACCCTTATTAAATACTCCATGCTCCTATGAGAAAACCCTGTGCTCAACTGAAAAAAATAATGTAAAGTCAAATAACGTCCATGACACTTATAGTAGATGAGTGGGGGTATGAAATTATTTTATTTTCTTTTCACCTAATTAAGAATTGACTGAGGCCATCAAGTCTGTGAGTTTTTTAAAATTGTTGCTTTTGAAAAATGGAGGTTGAAACCTTGTGAAAATTATTCCAGTGATCAACATGTTATGTTTTTTATTGGGATCGTGTCAAAGGGAAATCGTAAATGGTGTAGGCTCAATTTTTGTGTTCAGAAGGCTGTATGGTATTTGCAATTGGCTTGGTGTTCTATTCTACTATTCTTCAATGGATTTCCGGAACTCAATTTTTTATTGAGAGTTTGTAACATTTAATTTTTAGGGTTCACCTTTGTTGCACCCTTCATACATTAGGCACCTTTCTTTTATAGTAATAATACATGCCAAGTTATATTGAAACTTAAGATATCATGCATGATTGATTGGTGTATATATTGTCGTATCTGGTACCTCCTTCCAGAACAAATTTGGGTCACACATCTTCCAGAACCAATGTTCAATCTTTGAACTCTTTTCCCCAGATCAGATCCACACCTCATGCTATGTGGTTGTAAATTGCTTTCAAGTCCTTCGAAGAGTTGTTGGTGATTACAAATACCTCCAAAAATGTGAACCATTTAAAAGAAAACCCTCATGGTTGACAGCCTATAAATTATAAATTTCTGATTCATGTTCTTTTGCATCAAATCAAGCATCCAACCAAATAGGTGATTGTGAGTGCATTTTATGAAGCATTTTTGTGGCCTAGATTATGGTTGGCCATGCAGGTTGGTTTTCTTGTTGTTGCTGTTCCTATTAACAGCTTATTCAAAAGACAGTTATGTGGGAAAGTCGCTAACTTTATCCAACAGTTGTGGCACCATGGCAGATGTGCTGATCTAGAAACTGTGGAATTTATTGGAGCAGTTTCTGCTGGTTAGCACTCTGAGTAGCCAACTTATCCAAGGGGTAGAAACAGTAGAAAATTTGTCATTTTCTTTCAACACAGAACTTGGAGAGCTGTTGGCTGATTGGATTCTGGTCATCCTTTAACTTCTGTGATTTCTTAGTGGGTTGTACTAGTAGAATATCCCTTTTGCTAGTTGCTGTGATTAACAAACTTGTGAAAGGAGTTGTTTGAGGAAAAGTGATAGCCGCATACCTTTCACACAAAAACCAAAAAAAAAAAGAGAAGAAGAAGAAGAAGAAAGAGGGAAAAAAAAGTTATAGCCGCCGCATCTTGATTTTGGTTTCTAGTGACAGAAGACAGAAAGACCACTTTCCTTGATTGTAGGTGTATTTTTTTATTATTTTTTTTATTTGAGTTTAGAATAGTCTCTTTGGTTCAGCTGCGGAGAACTTTTATAAGAGCTGTAGGATTTCTTTAGTTCTTGCCCTATGCAACTACTTTGTTGCTGTTTGACTGCACTCTGACCTTGGAACTTCTTGGTAAGAACCTGGTATGGTAGCATAAATCTTTTTAACTGACAAAGAAATTCTAATTTTTTTTTTTTTTGAATAAAAAAAGGATGGACAAAAAAATTCAATGGTTTTCATAAGCAATATAACACTCATCTTGAATATTACAGAATGACTGAATGTAACACTTGTCCTGAGTATTACAAAATAACCATATTACTAACAATCATTATTCATGCATCTATAGGCCCACAAGGTAGATATTAAAATTTGGGAATATTCCGAGATCTGTTCGGCATTACTTGATAAATGTTATACTCCAATAAATTAATGGTTTGTTAAACATGCATGCACACAAAACTTTCATGTTTGATTTTTCGTAGTTTTATAAATTCATTTCTCTGGTCTTCATCTAAACATAAGAAGTGAACCGGGTACAATATTTACTTTTAAGATTTTTGGTGACTGCCTTTCCTTAGCTTCTAATTTATACTCAAGGAGCAGTTACTCTCTTTTTTGCTATCTAGTGACCCTAATAAGTTTTGATCTCTTACATTTTAATTGTAAGTTTGTCTGCAAATGGTGTTGTAGGTGCATTAAAGTCATTGAATCACTTCAATCATGCTGCGAGAAATGCGAAAATAAGTCGACACATTGTGCCTCTGTCTCTGGCCTTCTAAAGCAAATGCCCAAGTAAGAGCCCAACTAATTTTAGTCTTTTAGGTCTTCTATGGTGTTGTAGGTGTCTGCAAATGGTGTTGTAGGTGCATTAAAGTCATTGAATCACTTCAATCATGCTGCGAGAAATGCGAAAATAAGTCGACACATTGTGCCTCTGTCTCTGGCCTTCTAAAGCAAATGCCCAAGTAAGAGCCCAACTAATTTTAGTCTTTTAGGTCTTCTATGGAATACTAGAAAGATAATCCTGAGATATGGTAGTTTCTATGAATTACAGAATTTATTTTCAAACATAGTGGTGGTTGTGAGAAGTTTGTACTCCACCAAGATGTTACATAATGTTATCTCATAGGTCTCGGTTATGAAAAGAATCATAATATTCCTTTTGATTTTAATGCATTAGCAGCCTGAAGCTTTGTTTGATTCAGGTTTTAATTTGAAAAAGATGTATAATATACATCAACTCCCTGAAGCTTTGTGTGATATGCATTAGCCCCTGAAGCTTTGTATATGCCGATTCTTCTCCATTTGAATGTGTGTGTGTTTGTGTGTGTGAGATTTAACGACCTTGAAGATAACTTGTTTGTGAGAAGTTTGTACTCCACCAAAATGTTACATAATGTTATCTCGTAGGTCTCAGTTATGAAAAGAATCATAATATTTCCTTTTGATTTTAATGCATTAGCTCCCTGAAGCTTTGTTTGATTCAGGTTTTAATGTGACAAAGATTTAGAATATACACTAGCTCGCTGAAGCATTGTGTGATATCCATTAGCTCCCTGAAACTTTATTTATGCCATTTCTTCTCCATTCGTGTGTGTGTGTGTGTGAGAGAGAGATTTAACGACCTTGAAGATATCTTGTTTATATTGTTCTCGTTTTGATGAGAGGAACAAATGATTTGATCACAATTTTTGATGTGGCCAAAATTGGCCGGTATCAACTTTATTGCCAATCAATGTTTGTATGTCTTTTTGGCAGGAAGATTATTGCGAAGAAAGAGGATGGTACAGCAACAACTACACAGTAAGAATCGTACCCTCTACACTGACCGTGGTTTTACATCTTGTTTTTGAAGTTCATGCTAACAAAAGCAACACATCCCGGGATTTGGTACATATATGTTTTTCCGCATGCGGAAGGAATTTTGTAGATCATAAATTCATATGTTACACAGCTGGTTGTATAACTGAATCAAATCCTCAAGTAAAAGTACTGGGGTGATATTATTGTTGTAACTAAAATCTTAGTTCTCTCAAGTACAAAGCCAAAATGAAATGTCAAAGATCATTTCCTCTGTTGTGATACTAGATATGATATTCTTTTGACAAAGGACCTGTTCCCTATATCGTGGTGTTAAATGGACTGACTTTTGATACATAGCAAATTGACCTTTTACCACTATTGATGGTCAAATTTGAGCACTGTGCCTTCATGGTGAAAAGTATAGGGAAGAGTAGGCCAAGAAATGGGTTGGATTCAGGCATTACCCAATAGCCTAGGTAGAGCACGCAGTTTCTTGAGCCGCAATTCCTTGAGCGGGTGTACTCATGTTCAAGTTCTCCCCTTCTCCCTAATTTGTGAGGAAGGTGGGGGTGGGGTGGTTTGGATTTGACTTTTAATTTGAGTCATTTTTCAGAGTTTAAACAACTTTTTGAGTCCGAATTAGAGACGGCATTGCGTGAAGATATGTTTCGGAACATTGACTTCGATATGAGTTGAATTAAGTTTAGAAAGTAACTTTTCTATTAATTTAACCAGGTAAAAAAAAAAAAGTAATTTTTTATTCCTGAAGGGTGGAACTATGAAGTTTACAGTTACTTGAGTTAAAATCTGGCCTTTAATTTTATTTAGTTATATATATATATATATATATATATTTAATGAAAGTATGTGGATCGACTATTCAGGTTTGACATAAGTTTGATCGGAGACCAAACTTTTCAAGTTCAGAGCAATCTGTCGTTGGCAAAAGGTATGCAGAAATCACTTGTTGGAAGTTAGCAGAAATTTCCAACCAAAAAATTTGCAAATTGTTATATTGAAGGGGAGATAATTAGTGTGTCGATCAGTGGTAATACTTTTCATAAAACAGTTTTAGAAAATTAGTACAGCACTAGTGAAGATAGGGACTCGTGTGTGCGTGCGTGCGTATATATAACCCACCAAACACGTTCTATGATAACTTGCTAACAAATCCAAAAAAGACTCAAGTTTGCTGATCTTGATGGTCTAATCAGAAATGGAGAATATCTGACGACATAAAAACACGAGTTATTCACAGACAACTCTTCCAATTGCCGGTCGTGGAAATGACCAAATAATTTCACGCATTGATGCCAAAAGGCAGAGTAGCTGGGGGAAGTTCTTTGCAAAGTGAAGAAAAGATTCATTTATATAACCAACTTGGGCAGTATTACATTTGGCAGTTATCCCTTGTATAAGGTAAAAGATTTTGGCCATTTGAAGCTGCAAATGAAATCCAAAAAAATTTCATCCCTTCCAACTGTATCCAGAAAAGAACATGACGGGGGTTGGTCGAAATCTGTGATAAAATACAGGTTGACATTAGTGAGGTCCCCTCCCCAAAGACGACGCATGAGTTTGTGCAAATGGTAGGAATCAAAAGAAAATACATCATGGCGGATCACAATTGGTCCTGCCGCCTGAGAGGAATGCCTTCTGAACCAAAACCGTCCTCCTCTTCCATGTGTTTGGAAAGTCGCAAGGCCATGGAAGAAGATAAACCTGCATTATTGAACAACAGTATTCATATATTTTACCGAGAAATAAGAATGAACTAAAATTAGATAGGGTATCATCTTCGTACACAAACTATATATTTTTCTAATTCTTTTTAATTATTGAAAAATCTAAATATTTGATACAGAACAAAATAAAAATAAAAAACCCAATTCAAATGCAGCATTTTTAAGAGCCAAGGACCGAGAGCCAGTGAATGGGCTCAATCACAGACCGACTTTAAAAAGTATACGAGGAAAAGTAAAGAAGCATACCGTCAACCATGTCCTTTGTTTTGTGAAGAAGGAAGGTTCCAGCAAGGATAGTCACAAACCCACACATTTCTGTGACAATCTGGGTTGGATTCTGCCTATCCCAGTCCTATTTACCAGAAGCACAATATTATTTCAAGCTTAACTCATGAAAAGTTCAAACAAGCATATATCTGAGATCAGTATTGAAGTTGCAGTTCAAGTTGAAAATTTCAAACAAGCAGAAGTGAGATAAAAAAATAGTTGAAATTCCAAAGAATCAAAACTTCTTTTATTTTTATTTCCGTGCGTTATCATCATTATTTTCTTTCCTTTTTTTGGGTGGGGGATTAAGCAGAAGCAAGACTTACTTTCAGATGTACCGGTCGATTCCAAATTTTATAACAAGGAATATAATCTTTTCTTATGCTGCTGAACTAATATTTAGGATGAAAACAAATTTTTATTTATTTTTTGATAAGTAAAGATTGTATAAAAAGCGTTCAAACGGGTGAACGCAACCCCCAAAAGCTACACAAGGCCAAATAGGACCTCTAAACCCTCAAAGACTCCAAAAAATCTACAAGCTCCTCCAAGGATTCACAATTTCTCCCAAGAACCCAACAAAAAGAGTATTAATAATTGAAAACTTCAACGTCCTAAGCACTACCATACACAAAAAGGTGTAACCCTCCAGAAATCACAAACTTAGGCTCCCGCTTTACAACCTCTCCAAGCCTCAACCAAGTCTCTAGAAGATCTGGACATAACCCACTGAACCCCAAACAAACCCAACATCAACATCCAGCAATCTCGAGCCACAGGACAATGCAAAAGAAGATGATCAACCGTTTAATACAAATATATCCAAAATGTAGACATTAGGATAGGGCTGCAATTGAATCGAGCAATTCATTGTTCTTGGCACTATAAAAGCTCAAACTTGTGATCATTCATTAAGTAAACGAGTCAAGCGTGAACAATGCCGAGGCAGGCTCATTAGGTTTGTGAACAAGCTAGTTTATCTATATAATTTTAAAGTAAACACAACTAAAGTCCAAGGCCCCCGCCAAAAAAAAAAAAAAAAAACCGTAGCCTTTCCCAGGTCATTTGATGATAAGATTCAAGGTTTATTAGAGAAAGAGATCGACAAATATACTGATTTAATTGGCAGCAGACTATTCATTCCATTACCAAAAGGTATGTGTGTGTTTGCACATGTTTTCATATAGATAAGAAAATTGGGCTGTGTATATATATTTTGATGTTTGATATATGAACAAGTTTGGGCTGAACTTGAGCTTGCCAGAACAGAACCGAGCCAAACTCAAGCTTGTCCAAACATGAGTCGAGCCTGAACACCCCTCTTGCTTGGCGAGCAAAGCCAAATGTCGCTCCCCCACTATTTCCTTGTACACACCCTCCACCCCCCTGCGGGGGCCGCGCAAGGGAGGGTGCTTGCGGAAAATATAGATGGATGAAGGTGCATATGGAAAAATGACACTTGTATGCAACGAAGTGTACAAGGCCTAGACAGTTTGCAACAGCACAATTTGCATGATTGTGCACCTACTAGGTGCGCAATCTCCTCCACCCTAAATTTTTTGTAGTGTGGGGGATAAAACATCAGGTTTTATTTTTATGTTTATCCCATTTTCAGTTTAAATTAGGCAAATCAAGAGGGCACACTCATGATCGAGTTTTGGAAAATTATGATATGAAATGATTTTGATTGCATTTGGAACATGATTAGGGTGCCCAATGTTGGTATTGCAATCGCCTGTACCGAGATATGAAAAGGGATTCGATTTGAGATCGAACTTGTGGTTGAATGATTGCAACTTAAAGCATATGAAAGATAATGTAAGTTCACCTTTGGGGTGAATTCAAGCCCCTTTGGCTCCTTGATTGTATTGATTAACAGATTTTATGGGACCCAAGAAAAGTCTGATTTGAAGGGTTAATAATATTTTGATTGGAACTGTTGCCAAATCGTGGAATTTGACTAGAGAAAGGTGTGGGCAAAATGTGTTGTCTACACCCAAATAGCCCAAAGCTCGGTTGGCCTGGTTCATTTGCAGCACTAGGAAAGATAAACATTCACATACCCACGTCTGCCTTCCTCTACCAGTGAGGTTTAATAAAGGACATGCACTAACTTCATTATGAGAGATTATTATAATTATTCATCTATTTTTCTCATGTGACTTACCAATTCATTCCTGATATCTGTTTCTTTCTTTTCTATTATTTATTTATTTTTTGGCTAGGTGGGACGTCGGGTATAGAGGCTGGGGCCTGCAAATTTATCAAATTCCAGGAAGCCACATCACTGATATCTGACTCACTCTAGGACTAGTATAAAACTAGTTTGACCTACTATGTTATGTTGATTATAACAAGTCGCAACACTCAAAACATATAAAAGTTGAATTAAACCTGTTCCTCTTTTGGATGTTCAAAGAACATCATTCACTTATTAGCAACCTATAACAAGAGAGAAAATTGTCCTGATTTGCATGGATATCCAACATTGCGAACCTACAAAAGTTTATTTATTTATTATTATTTATTTTATTATCCTTTTAAGTTAATAAGATTTACCAATTTTTATCTATTCACAAGTGTTGGCAAATATGATAGTCACGATTTATGGAATGACTTACCATATTAGGAGAGATTTTATAGTCACGAATCATGGCAAATAATATGTTGAGATTTAATTTAGATTTGATTTTATTTCCTTTCTTTGATTTAGATTTGAAATTTAAAGCAATATATCATTAAGTTGCATAAACATAATAAAACCAACACCTGCAAATACATCCAAGTTTTATATTTCCAAAGTTTGGTGTTTCAAAAGAAAACACCAATAACGCAATGACTATGTGGAGAGGTCAAGGTCAAGTATTGAGTTTCCCTGACATTTTTGGCACTTGAAATTTACTACGGCCAAGGAAGCTGTGAGCGTAAAGTGATGAGGTTGACAACGGCAGGAGAAAATCACATCATGAACGAAGCCTAAACCAAGGTTCAAATCCTCCTCCTGTGGTGCCTGTGCCTCCCTACGCTCCTCCCTCCATACGTGCTCTGGCTGAAGAAATGGCACATACATTGAGCATACCTTGCAAATAACGGTCATAGAGATATTGTTTGTCCACATTTTAATTTGTCTTCCCAAGCAATGACGCCGATAAGACTCCATTATGAGAAACGGCTGAGGGAAGGGTGCAGTAGCTGTGATAGAATTCGATACCTTGAAGCCGTAGTCTACCTTACAAGGATCACATACCACTCGAAATCTGGTGAATTGCCTTTTTGATTCAAGACTTTGTACCTAACACCGCCATCGCAACAATGGCATGGGAGCGTTGCAGCCTCAAACAGTTCAACGACCTTGCGGTCGATATGACTAAAGAGAATAAGGCACTAGGAGCCAATAGTTACTTGCTTATTTGGAAATTTGATGTTGTACAATCCCTTGCAATCATCACAAGTAAAACTAATATCGCAATTAGTTGAAGAAATTTGAACTTTATGTTTCTATTGCAAACACATGAGAATGACACATCCGAAACAACTACTGAGATATTTGTATCGTTATTCTCGGGATATGACGATACTGGCTGGACTACGTGGTCAAAAGACGATTTGCATCCATTGCAAATAATTTTCATGGATATATTCTCTGTGTTGGTTCTCACAAAGTGGGCAACAACAAGTCTTTTTTTTTTTTTTTACAAGTAAACATATAATAACAAAGGCGCTCAAAGGGGAGCGCTCAAAGGGGAGCGACCCTTAACAAAGCAAATAAAAGATGCAAAAGGCACCATTACAATGATAAGTTGTCAATAAAATCCAACAAACTGTCCACAGATGAACAATTTATCCCATTAACCCAAGAATAAAGAGAATGCAAAATATTCGACTTAATAACCCACGTCGGCGACTCCTTTCCATTGAAAGATCTCCTATTCCGCTCGAGCCACATCCCCCACCTAATAAATCACAACGGCAAGTCTTGATGCGGATAAAATCACGTTTTTCGCTTAGTGGTTGCACCGACTACATTGAGGTTGAGCCCTCGGGTCTCCCAAAGTTTTTTTTTTTGATAAGTAAAAATCGATTAGAACAGCGTTCAAAAGGGGAACGTGTCCCTAATACAAAAAACGAAAGTGGAACCTAAGGACCAATAGAGTCCAAAAGATCAACTAAGTAATTAGTTGAGAAGCAACCGCTTCCTTTCACATAAGAGAAAATATAACGAAGAATATGCATTTTCAATGTCGCCATAGACGTTTCCTTTCCTTCGAAATTTCTGCTATTCCTCTCTCTCCAAATGCACCATCAAACACAGTGTGGAACTATCCTCCAATAGTCACGAGCGTGGCTTTTCACTGGGCATCTTCTCCACACGTTAATCAGTCCTATGGAGGACCGAGGCATTACCCAATTCGAAAATGTCATCGTATTTAACACACTTATAGTTAAACAACTTCAACGAGGTGTGTGTTTCTACGATGAGGCCGTTGTTTAACTATAAGTGTGTTAAATGCGATGGCATTTTCGAATTTAACTTTGGGAGACCTGAGGGCTCAACCTCAACACAGTCGAGACCTAATGGCTCAACCTCAACGCAGTCGTTGCAACCACTACGTGAAAAACGTGATTTCATCCGCATCAAGACTTGCCGTTGTGATTGCCAGAAGACCCACTTTGTGAGAACCAACACGTAGAATATATCCATGAAAATTATTTTCAATGGATGCAAATCATCTTTTGACCACGTAGTCTAGCCAATATCGTTTTATCCCGAGAATAATGCTACAAATATCTCAATAGTTGTTTCGAATGTGTCATTCTCATGTTTTTGCAATAGAAAACATAACATTCAGATTTCTTCAACCGATTGCGATATTAGTTTTACTTCTAATGATTGCAAGGGATTGTACAACATCAAATTCCCAAAGAAGCAAGTAACTATTGGCTCCCAGTGCCTTATTCTCTTTAGTCATATCGACCATGAGGTCATTGAACTGTTTGAGGCTGCAGCTTTCCCATGGTCATTGTCGCGATGGTGGTGTTAGGTACAAGGTCTTGAATCAAAAAGGTAATTCACCAGATTTTCGG